GGGGGGGGGGGGCAATATTCAGTGTCCATTATTAAACTCTGAGCACTTCAGAAGTCATCCTCCTCTTCTAGAGTGGGCAGATGTATAAGGACTGTGCTCAGCACACCAAGTGTTTCACAATCCAAATATGCTTATTAAAAAAGGGGGCACAACTGATGTATCCAGACAGATAGTGTTCATACTACCAGAATAGAGCTGTGCCATTTGGATTCAATTACACATGTGGGTACCACAGTGCTCAAGGCCATTTATAATCTCAGTGGTCCTACCTAGAAGGAACACAGAGGAGGGAAGGTTACATGTCAAGACCAAGGATCTGGAGCAGTGCTTGCTCAGATGTCAATACATCTGTGGGGTAAACGTGTGTACACTGGGCTTGGTACATTCAAATCTCTGGTGTGTCATACAGGGAGAATATTAGCTATTTGCTGTTGAAATGCTCTCCCACAACTTCCTACTTGAGCTTTTAACTGACACGCTCTGAACTGAGAGCAATCCACCCCTATCATCCAGCAACAAAAGCTGAATTTGGGGAAGAAGTGAGTGTGGTGGAAGGGTTGGGTTGCATAATTGGACGTCTCTTCTCCCTCTTGGCGATCGATTGGTCATGCCTAGGCCTTGCTGCAGACCAAAGCCTGTTCATTAGGAGCAGGAAGAGACTTTGAATATGAAAGAAAAAAAAAAGATTAATGTTAAAAAACGTATTTCACATGTGGGGGAAAATCACGCTTTGAATTTTTTTTTTTAAATAAAACATATTTCAGTCCAAAGAAGAAAAATATGCAGCAGTAGGCAAGAGTGGTCTATGTGTACAAACCTAGCCCACGAGATGCAACGTCGGTAGCAATGAGGATAGGAGCCTTTCCAGAACGAAACTCTGTAAAACAAAGCATGCTATGAAATTAAGATTTTTCAAAAATGTAAGTTACCTGAACCTGATTTACTAAATGCTCATATTCTAGAATCTAGGTAAGACGGGTCAATTTCAGAAACCCCAGCAAGTCAAGACATAATGTGTCAACTATTTTAAAAATCCAGCTCTCTGGGTTAAGCTATTTTTTCCATTGTGTTCTTGAAAAAAAATAAATAGAAAAAAAAAATAGAAAAAAAAAAATCAAGTACTGAAATTACCAGTACCTATTGGTAGGGACAAAAAGACAACTGGAGAAAAGCATCTCTCGGTAAATTATGTACAGCAGCCCAAGTTACTCTACCCTCAGAGATGGACTCACCATTAAGCACCCAATCTCTTTCCGGCTGACTCTTGTCTCCATGGATACACATAGCTGGCCAACTGCCAAAGAGAGATGCATATTAGTACAGACAGAAAGTACATACATTAAAGGCAACAGGAAGCTTTATTGGCATTTCAGTAAAAAAGGCAACCAAAAAAAGAGACTTGAGAAATGTTTTATTCCCTGTCCTCCTCTGGCCTGCACCAACCTAGCAAGTATACTGGTTTGCTTCTGGCATGTTAAACCCTCTACTTACATAAGTAGCCATCAAAGCCAAATCCCAATTCCTTTACTGATACAGTTCCAACCAGTGTATCAGTATTCTGATACACTAAAAGCTGCCCAAATCACAACTACTCTCTTCTTGCTTTCATATTTTCATGGACTGGAACCTTCTGGAAAACTGAGACTGAATTCAGCCAAGGAAAGAGCAGGGAAAGCATTCCCGACAGAAGCATCATGAACACTTAAGCCTCACTGCTTCTGATTACAATTTCTGTTTCCCACCAGAAACAAGGGGAAGGAGGGGGGAAGCTAATCACCCATCTCTGCGCATCCTTCGAGTGAGATCATCACATCGCCTCTTTGTTTCCACAAAGATGATAGTCTTGTTTTCCTTCTCTGCCATGATCTCCTCCATCAGTTGTATCAGTCTAAAATAGACATGAGAGCTAAGATGTATAACCACATACACAAGAATATAGGAGCACTCACTCAATTTTCATTGAGAACATAAACAACATATATCAGTCAGTATCAGGTCTGCTGCTCCTCAGCATGGTTAAAATATACACAATAGATTAGCTAATTACAGGACCTATTTACTTTCTAACACCACAAAACTAAGTAATAGTACAAGTGACTTCAGTATTTGGACTTTGTATCTGGCTTACAAAGCAATATAGATTTTTTAAGTACAACCAAAAAAAGTGAAAAGGGAGGAAATCAGCTTACTTATGGTCTTTCTCGCTTTCCATGCATACATCCACTATCTGTAGGATATTGTGGTTGGCACTCAGCTCCAAGTTTCCCACATTGATCTGAACATAGTCCTGCAGAAAGTCCTCGGCAAGCTGGCGCACTTCTTTTGGCCAGGTGGCACTCCACATCAGAGTCTGTCTGTCAGGCTAAGAATGAGGGAAAACAGACTTATTTAAGGTACCGGACTTTGAATGGGAAAACAACAAGGCTCTTCTTTTAGAAGGTTAACGCACCCTTATCTGATCAACAATCTTACGAATTTGGGGTTCAAATCCCATGTCCAACATCCTGTCTGCTTCATCCAGCACCAGGTACGTACATCGACGAAGGTTGGTCTTTCCTGCCTCAAGGAAGTCAATCAAGCGACCCGGTGTAGCAATGCAGATCTCCACACCTTCAAAACAGAATGAAGAAAACGAGTAAGACACTTCATTTGAATGTCAATTGATATTTTTAGTCAGCATGAATCACCTTCAGGAGCAAATTGGTTTTTTTTTAAAAAAAAATAAAAAGCACCACCCTCATTCGTACCCAAGATTGAGTCATTTCAGTAGAAGGCCTAGTTTCTTTTAAGATTTTTTTCCATTCTGAAATTACTGTTACAGTGCCATCAGAATAATAAATAAAATGCAGAAGCTCAAAGTTTATTGACAGAAACCACTGGGGAAGAGCTGTCCAAAAATCAGAAATAAGCTTCTACTCAAGCCTGACCCATCTTCATACAGAACTATGCAGTCTAGAGAGCTCTCTAGAAAAACAAGAGTGACCTCCAACTAAACACCCCATGTTAATTCAAACACAAAATGCTACTCTTGCTATAGACATGGGCTTTAAGTTATGCACCAACACTGACAGACAACCATCCTGCATGCATATTAATAAACTATTTTCAGGTATGGCAATTTATACATCCTTCAAATGGAAGGACTGTTTTTCAACAATTCCCAAATCTTACAGGTGAGTCCTTCAGTGTCATTGAAATGTCCAAAGAAGGTAAGTTTAGAGAAGCAGGTGGCTGAAAAAGAGCAAAATCCCAACTGCATTCTCTATATTGCATTTACACAATGCAGAGTATTTTGTGGGAACCCATATGTTTTTGTGTCAACCTGGACTCCTCAGAGCTGATAAAGCTGGACATACTTCTAGTTTCTATAGAGGTCATGGAAGAATTTCTAATTGGGCCAGGAGTCTGAATAAACTGCAATTTCTGTTGTTAATGATGCACTTTTCCTAAGTAAATTCACTAAATACCCCAAAGATCACAACTCAGAAAAATAAATAAAAATGTTTTCTATCTATTCAACAATCTTCGCTGTACAAAATACTGAACAATTATCCAAAGACAGTAACAAATGAAAGGACTGAAAGCACTGAACCTGCCCACGTGCTCTAAACAAGAAGTTTTCATAAGCGGAACACATTTTACAGCACTTCAGAAAGGCAGACAAAAACTCGCTGAGCTGATCCTCCCAAGTCGCTTCATGTAACCTTTGATTCTTCCACTGAAGATGCTACTCTTGAATCAGAACACACTGCCATTTTCAAGAACAGAGCTATCCCACAGCCTTCTACCATGCATGTCTCTATCCCTCAGTTTTCAATAATGACTCTACAACTTGCAGCATTAAGTAAAATATTCTGATTTCTTGAGTAAATCTGCATATATAAGCTTACCTTGATAATACTTCTTACATCTTCTCACATAATTCTATCGATTATTTTTTTTATCTACTGAAGATGAAAGCCACCAGTACATTCCTGCATTTGCAATTATGTGTAACTAGCCTTTGATGTGAAGGTTAGGTCACTTGAGCACTACTGTGTTACAGTGGTTGCTCTAGAACCATGGTTCCTCAACATTCTCAACTCTAGGCCCTTGCTATGTACAAAAGGCAGCTACAGAATGTTACAGGGTACATGAACAGAAATGGAGATTAGTGCCTAAGAATAATAAAAAAACCCAAACAAATGCCACTGTCTAAAGCTGTTTCTATGTATTCAGAAATTAAGTTTGATTATTTGAAAATCCCTAGGCAGAAAACTTGAAATCTGGCTTAAGAAAAATAATTTCTTACATTTGGTGCTACTGCATTTCCTCAAAATAAACCTGTTCTCTTTCTGGTAAGTTTCCTTTTCTCCTTCCTATGTCCTGATAATCTTCACAACTGGAAAGTTCAAAATGAAAATAGAAAGGAAATCTAATATCCAAGTAAGTACCTCTGTAACAAAGATGCCAACTACTTCATGAACTATCACTGAAACTGGAGAGACAAGTCACTCATTCACACACAGCCCCTTCCAAGAAGATTTTAAGAAGATAATTTTCCCTTTACGGAAATTTTACAGTAACACCTCCTCCAAAAGCTGCAGCTATTTTAAAATTACCTCTTTCTAGATCTCTGATTTGGGGACCTTTGGGTGCTCCTCCATATATGCAGGTACTCTTCAGTCTTGAACACTTGCCATAATCATCAGCCACTTGCTGCACTTGCTGGGCCAACTCTCTAGTTGGTGCTAAAACCAGGCACTGCAAAAGGAATCGATTAAGGACAGCCAAGCTGCACACACATCCCTAAATTATAGGCTACACACAGATACCATCAGCAAAGCTGGACCATCTGCTCTTTATTAGCTAAAGCATTTAAATAAAATTTAAGTAGAATTTCAACTACTGAGTGGGATGTTCATATTGTAATAGTAAACATTTCTCTACTTAGTATTCTGATAAACCAATTAAATAAAGTACACATCTCATTAATGATGCCATGCCATACACACAAAAAGAATCGTCAAGCACTTACAATTGGGCCATCTCCTCTCTCCAAATATGGCTGGTGGTTGATGTGAACAATTGCAGGCAGCAAGTACTAAAACAGAAGAACTTTAAGTCAAGACACAGGACATCAATATTCAATGCCAATGACCTCCTGCCGTGACAACTGGATCACAGCAAGAGACCACTTAGCCTAACATCACTTCAAAAAGCCAATCCATGATGTGAGAAACAGTAAGAAAGTCCCTGCTTTCTGCAAAAACAGATACTTGCATTTATCCAAAAGAACAGAAGACTTCTCAGAGCTGCTGACCAAACGTATCTGCTTTGACACAGAGCTCAGCACCTCTGAAAGGAAGGCTCATTTAAATTTGGAGTTTAAGTTAGTAGAATGGTGCAATCTTGGCTCTAATAAATTGTTTTCATAAAGGATAAAATTCCTTCTTACCACTGCAGGTGAAACTAATGCATACATTGAAGACTCAACCATTCTTTATTTTTACTTGCGTATTTAATAAAACAAATATACTAAAGAGCACCTACTGTTTTATAAACCACAATGTAAGCAAAGACCAAGAAAAGTGACTAAGAATCCAAAAAGAAAGACACTCTCAAAACACATGCCTGTGAATAAGACAGGCTAGATGAGACTTAAGGCTCATCCACAATGCAATAAAGCAAGCTTCTGCAACATATAACCATCTCACTTCCTGCTTGTAGCACGGATAAGCCCAAAAACTACTAACAAGTACCCAAGGGTAACTTCTGCAACGCAACTAGAATAAATAAAAGGTAAAAAGAACACATACTGCTAGTGTTTTCCCAGAGCCAGTCTGTGCAATGCCCACCATATCACGGCCACTGAGGGCTAGTGGAAAGCCTTGGCACTGAATTGGAGTGGGTTCTGTAAAGTTCTGGTCCATCAGAGCATCCATCACGTACTCTAGGAATTTAAGACATGAAAAAAAATAATTAAAGGATGACCAAGGCTTCAGATCTTCTACAAAACAGAACAGGCCTAAACAATAACTGTTTCTGAGTAATCCTCATTATCTTAAAAATACCAAAACACTTACGTGGAAAGCTACACTGGTGGAAGGCAAACACAGGCTTGGGACAGCCCTCCATTCCTCGAATAGTGATCTCTTTCTTTCTTCGCAGTTCTTCAACTTCGTACTATTTATGTATAAAAAAAACCAAAAACAAAACTAAGACAAATGCCAAGTGTCAGCAGGGACTTCAGAGTGCACATTTCTAGCCATTAACTCACTTCACACCTCTGGATAACAGCTTTGTTAAAGAACTGAATTTATACAGAAATCTGAAAAGGACTGCTTTCCTATGAATTTTGTCTCGAGACTGAGCTAGCACATAGCTTCCACAATATTCAAAGGTATGAGATTTCTATGTAGTCTAGAAGGGCTAATATCATGTCTCTTTTTCTAACCAGACCTTTTTAATTAAGTGTATTAATGTAGTATTTTTAAGAATTCTACTCTTCTTCCAGAGGCCAAAAATCACCAACAGCTTCAAAAGTGATTAGAAACAGAGAATCGGGTAAGAAATTAGTTTTATGTGACAGTGCTAAGAACTCAGCAAAATAAATAGGTCCTAATATGCTACAAACAAGCAGGAGGCAGGACAGTCCTCCTTCAATTAACAGATTCCAGAGATGGTTAAATACAGAGCTCTTGCTAGACAACTAGCAACTCAGAATGTTGTTTGGAATCTTTTTTGGAGCAGTACTTTTTTCTGTATGAAAGAAGTCCAGGCAATATCATAATCATACCCTAAGACCTCGTAATTTTTTTTTAATAATGGAACTTCTTAAAATATCTTTGAAACATCTATCTACATACGCCTCATTTTAGGATTAGAAAAAGTGCTCTATTTTTGTCTGTGTTATCCTGCAAGTCCCACTGCACTTTGCGATATGCTTCCACAATTCACGTCCTTATTCTAATGCTCATTAAAACTCAACAAGAAGATACCCTTCAATACCAAACATGCAGTTCACCTAAAGCAATAAATTTACTATTTGTGAGAATATTTTGTGCTTGAATGAAAAGGTAAAAAAAAAATAAACTTTTGGGAAAAATGTGAAAATCCTTTTAGATGGCTAAGGTAGAGACAGATTCATCAGCTAACGCTAACTGTGCTTCCGTTCAAGTTGTTGTTTCTTTAAAAAGCCAATGTCTCCTGCAATTCCTTTGTGCCGTATAAATATTAATATCCCACCAAAAATCTAGGAGTCTATGTAACTGGATAAGAATAGTTTATTTCCTTGCGTTAAGAATGAAATATATTAATTTCTAAATATAAAAATACATTAAAGAGGGAAAAAAATACTAGACTCAAGTTGGGTAAGAAGGTGAAATTACTGTATCTACAGAGTAAACACAAAGTACTGCGTCCAGTTTTGAGCCCCCAGTTTAAGAAGGGCATTGTTTTAACAAGGCATGTCCAATTATGGGGAGAAAGTTTGAGGCTGGAGTACAGGCAGTACGAAGAAAGACTGGGAATGCTGGATTTGTTTAGCTTGGGCAAGAAAGGACAGACAGCAGGATTTAACTGCTACTTTCAACTCGCGATTGGTTGCTATAGAGAAGATTTTAAAATAATTATTAGGAGCAGCAAATACAGTGAGAAACATTAAGCCTTGAGAGTCACCCAGAGATGATATAAACTGTCCCCATTCCTGGGGATATTCAAACTTGAAAGGGCAAGGCACTAAGAAACCTGCTGTAGTTTTGTAGGTTACTCTGCTCTGAACAGAGGATTAGACTAGAGGTGGCCTCTTCCACCCTAAATTATTATTATGATAAAATCCTCTTTCAAACGTTTCTCCTATTTCTGCCACTTTTAGTTCATTATTTTAAGCTCTTTCAGGGCCTTCTCAGTACTGTAATTCTCAAGCCCTCCAAGTCTACCTACATTGACAAAATAGCTATACCAGACAAGCATTATGATAATGAATTATTAATGACCAAAGGAAAAGTATCTTGTATAGAAACAGTTGTATCACCTTTGCCAATGTTAAATATTGAAGGCAACTAGGACTGGTATCCTGCAGAATACACATATACCAAACAAGCTTCATGAAGAGCGAGTTCCTTGTTACATACTGCCCCAGACTTCCTAGACAAGATTTTCCACTTGTGACATTTTCTCTTGTAGGCAAAATGAACAGACAAAATCTGAAAACTTACTGGAGTAAGCCTGGCCACTTCCGGATGTTCCACGTAAAAATTCTTCTCAAACTTGGGCAGCTCATTTAAATCCCATTTTTTCTTACGTAGACGTTCCCCTGGATTACCAAATTTCTTTGGAGGAAGAGGACCTCCACGACTTGCTCCAAACCTGGTAAAGTCAATGCTAGTTATAAAAAAGAATATTTAGTTACTCTGGAATATGTAAGTTTTATAAGCATTTTCCACTCCTTTTTCCCCAAGTTGACACAAGAGCACAATGCTTAAGCAAACGTCACACCCCTCCCCCCCAACTATGATGGCACGCAGTTTCTTGAAATAACATAAATCTGCTCTAAGTCAGTTCTCTACCCAAAACCACTTCAAATTTTCCTTCCAGTATGGCTATTTGTAAGTCGATGCTTTAAAGCTCCTGTTTCCAGGTTTCTACTACAAGGTTCCTTCCCTCTGGAGAATGCTGTGGGTACAGCTACAGCACTTTTCTTAAAACTGATAGTGCACTTAAAACATGGTTACATGAAAGGGAAGAGGAAAATCTCTAAGTTCCTTGTATCTCTCGCAAGATTAGCTGCACACAAAAATTGCTATTGCTATGTCTTCTCTGCTTTCTTATCAAGCAGTATGTCTCAAAAGAAAACAAGAGTGAAGAAGTGAAAGGAAACAAGTTCAGCCAATGCTGCAAATTAGTCTGCAATTCTGAAATCAAAGCAATTTTTAAAAATTTTTTTTTTTTTTAAACTAGAGTTTAATGGGATAAAAAACCCAAACAAAAAAACCCCAAAAACTCCCACAAACCATCAAAAAAGTACGTGGGGAAAATCATCTCCTCTCAAATGCTTTTGAAGATTCAAGAGTAAAAAGCTGTTTATTCTGCTAGAAATTTCTTAACTAGCAGGTCTACTCAGAAGTTACTACCTTTCTCTCTCACATAGGTTTTCCTCACCCAGTTAACTGAATGCACTTAAGAAGGTTAAGAACTAATTATAATGACTAGTTAATGCATTAGACAAAACATGAGCTTTTGAGTGGCATAAAATTATTATTAGCTGTAAAAATTACAAATTATGTATTTTTAAATTCCACAAAAAAGGTTACAGCTCCTCATTCATATCACAGAAACAGAAGGTACTTTTCCAAAGGCAACTAGCTCAAATTTTGTCCTAATTCAGGTTTTGGTTAATAAAGCTACACCTTTTTCTAAACATGAATTAATGAGAAATGGTTGTTTAAAACAAGACTTTTATTTAGACAGCAAATACAAAGTGTCTGCACCTTACCCAAACACTCCAGTAAATAAGAAAACTAGTTACACTAGTAACTTGGGAGTTTGTGTGTGTGGTAGAAAATTAAGATCTGAAATACATTTCTGTACAAGACTGTCCATCCAGACATTAACGACATTTCCTCTTTAAATCACTTCCCAATGGAAACGACAATGACACTGATTAATAAAAAAAAGATCGCAAATCAACATATTAATAGGAAAAAGCAACTACATTGTTGGAAAAGCTAAGTACAGCAGATACTTAGCAGTTTTATGGTTAAATTGTAAGTTTTAAAATGTTTGCTTTGTTGTAACTGTTCCATTAAACCTCTCCCATCTCCTATAAATATCCCTTATTTTCCCATCTGTATGTCTATCATATCCCTCAAACAGCCTGCATAATCAGTAATTTTTGTTATATGTGAAGACTGTGAAACAGTTTCAAAAATTAATTTAAACATAACATTTTCTTTCATGACAAAGTGTAAAAAAGTAGTATAGATTTTCACTTATAAGGACATTCTGCTTTACTGAAAATGTCTGCTACTGATCATGCGAACTTGAGGTCAAAAGGACAACTATTTCTGTATCCAAAGAGTTAAAACAAAACCCATACTCATGCTGAAGTCACTGGAGGTTCAAAGGGGCAATGAGTTTCCTTACAAAAGGATACACATGGAGGAACCGATTGCAATACTGGACACTTGAATAGCTGGGTACTAAGAATATTTGCACCATAGACAACCAGAAGGAAAAACTGATGTATTTTACACAGAAATTACATAGTTCCAGTTCTCCATTCTTACACACAATATGGCTGTATGCGACCTAAAAGAAGTGAGCCCTGCAGCAGTCCTCAGATACTGCCTCTGTTTATCTGTTGAGCTGGTAGTAACTGACCCTTTACATTCAGATTACAAGTAAAATGAGATTCCAATTTCAGTTAAACTGATTTAAATCCAGGATTGTTCCTCTGATTTGCCAACAGTTCTCTTTTCAAGTGAATATTCAGACTGACTCAAAATGTGCTTCTCAAATACTACTGGGCCATCATTTCTGGGACAGAACAGAGTGAACTCGTTAAATTCCAGAGGAAAAAGAGCACAACTTTACATTCTAAGCAGTTATGTACTACTCATTCCTAACAGAGGGAAAACAGAAAGCCTCTATTTGTTTACCCTATGAAAGAATCAGCCCTGAGAAGATGACAAACTTTTAAATGGCACCTAACCAGTGTGCTGGGTTTTACAAGTTATTTATGAAGTATGATGGGTATTAGTTGTTATAAATATTTTCACCCCTTAAATAGATGTGAATAACAAACTGAATCCTAATGCATTAAAGCTTCCAGTAGAATAGTTTTTGCCAAGAAAACAATTTCCCATGCAAATGTCAAAATACTTCACAAAGGAGCATGGAGGCACTCCTTTTATGCAAAACCCCTGATTTAAGAGAAGTATCTGACTATAATAAAAGTCTTTACACAAAAAAAATTACACTAATTTTAAGGCACCTCAAGTGTTGCGCCAGTGCTTTGGACAGTGTTCTTTTAAGTAACTATGTATAAACCTGCATACTAAATCACTCACTAAAGTCCAAAAACAGCTGGGTCTGAACTACCTCAGCCTTGCCAAGGCTTTTATTCCAGTGTCCTGATGCTAAACTGAGCTGTAAATCTCATATTGGAAAAACACCAGAATCCTCTGAAAAAAAAATTAAAGTATCTTTTAATTTCAGAGTGTGGTATGTGGGTGTAAGATAAAGCAAGGATACAACTATCTCTCTCCACACACAACCAGAAACTAAATGTTGCATTGCAACATAGAAACAAAATATTCCTGAATCTCGCAGCAGGGAAGGCAAACAAGGGAAAAAAATAAAATTAAAAGGGAAGACTGGTTAACAGACCTAATCTGCCGTACTAAGAGTAACAGAATCTGCACGGTATGTTTACTGTTAACCCTTGAGAATGGAGGTCAAAGTATGCGTGATGTAAAGGATAGAAAATGCCACTCTCCTAACTTAGTTCTAACTTTCTCTTTAAAAAGGCCTGGGATGAACGTTTCATTACTTTCAACCCTTAGAAAACTCGAGTCTCAAACTAGTTATATACTATAACGCTATCGTATTTATTGCTGCCATCCTCAGAAGAATAAAAACAAAAAAAACCCCAACAAAACCTGCAAAAACCTTTTCTGAGCCAAGCTTCCTTTAAATGGCAGAATCAAGAGTATTAAGCACCACCAGGCCTCTGCAATGCCACACAGACAAGTTAACAACTCCTGTTTGACTGCTACGTAGGCATATCCAAGGCCATGTTTACTGAAATCACCCTCTCGAGTATGCAAGTTCCCTGCACGGGCAGCAGCTTTCAATCTCATTTCCTCTCACGATAAGCCTGGGAGTGCAACCGAGAAGCCTCTTTCACCACTGCCATTTTTCTAGTAAGTTCAGAAGGAGCAATGACAACCAGAAGGGCAGTGTCCAGCCACTCTTGCCAGGGCCACCGAGTCCTTCGTGGCTTGCGGGGAGGGGCAGAAAGGGGGGAATAGCATAAAGAAGAAGAGGGCTGGCAGAAAATAAATTAAGAGCAAGGGGAGAAAGCAAAAGGCAGGCCTTAGAATTGCAAGCAAGGCACACACATATGAACGACAAAAAGCCAAATAAATTGGGGAATAAACACAACAACACACCACCACCCCTTGCTGCCAAAACCCTACTAATAAAGCCTCCAGTTCCCCCCCGCCCCAAGATTTTTTTTTTTCCGAGAAAAAGCTCCCCCAATACCGCCAACTGAACGTGCCCCTTCCTCGTCCCCAGGACTCCTCCCCGACCTTCCTCCCACCAGGCCCTCCAGGCGGGAGAGAAGACCTCCCACCCACTGCCCCCAGACCACATCCACCCGGCCTCGCCACGGCCAACAACC